CCTCACCTCGAGTCTGTTCTCTGTCGTTTCTGATCGCTCTTCCGCACACAAAACACGATACAAACACAGTCGGTGACAAAAAGCACTGTACATTATATACAAAAGCAAAATTATGGAAAATCAGTATTAAATGTTTTTTAGCCATTTTATTGCTGGCGTACAGACAGGACGAACATGCTCTCATAGAATGGCAGCCAGTGCAGTTTGCGAGAAGTTGCGCAATCCCAGGTGAGGCTATGCCTCACCTGCCTCCCCTGACCGCACATCACTGCAACAGATATATCTGTTACTATATATCTAGCAACAGATATATATTCACTTCTTTAGCTAAGCATTAGAAAGTTGCCATTTACGAAGTGCAGTACTCAGATGCAGTATTCTACTTCTTTAGCATCTATTTTGAAACCAATATAGATAAAAAAATTAATAATTTGGATAAAATCTGCATTCATGTTTGAAAATAAGTCTTTTGACTTTGCAAAAAAATATATAAAATAATATGCAGATTTTTTTTCATGGAAATTATTTGCTGCTGAATCTGTGTATCTAAGTAGAAATGTCACTTGATCAAAACCACAACTGAGCTTTAAACATATTCTTTGTAGGATAAATATGGACATGTAGATCACTGATTTCCAGAATGAAAGGGATCAATTTCAGATATTTGATACTAATTCTGAGTCAGAATTTAAATTCTTGTACTTTACTCCTCTGTTTCCAGGACATGGACCGTTTTCCCACATGTTTGATCTAATGTTTATACCCAAAGCACGTCCTGGATATGACTGGAGCGTAAGAAATAATTTTCATTCTTACTGACTTAGTGCCTCATTTATTTTTTCAGACTGGTTTGAGAATAAGAAAACTTATATTTCTCCTCCACTCTTTGAATTGGAGTTAGAATATGGAAGTTATATTTTGACCAGCTTTAAAGATGACGAGATTTGAAGTCGACTACCTAGTTTGTAAGAATATGACTGGTTAACAAAAATATATTCAGTGATGTCCCTGCTAGTATCATAACAGACCAAATAAAACTGATGCAATGAAATACAGGTAATCGTCAAAAAAATGTCAATATCATTAAAGAGAACAATATTGTGTCCCTCACTTCAGAAAGTGAAAGTCATATTTGTTTTTTCCTTACACAAGTAGTGTGTAATGAATATACACACTACTTGTGTACTTGCGTGTATATAAATGCCCTTCATTTGCTGTGTAGCATGCAGTTGATCAGCCTGTGATTTTACGGCGGTGTAATCAAAACCTTTGCAGATAGTGGCCTTCAGTTCTTCTGCATTGTTGGTTTTAGTGTCACTCATCTTCCTTTTGACAGTACTCTATAGATTCTCCATGGACTTCCGGGCATTTAAATTTACTGCTCAAACACTGAAACGCCATGGTCTTAAAAGCAACTTTGGTAGCCTAGTAGTAGGGACAGGTGCCAAGTCCTGCTGAAAAATCCTAACAGCATCTCCATAAAGATTACTTATTTAATTTAAAAAAGATAAGTCTGTTCAGAACCAGAATATCTGCATAAATTTAAAGATAAGGAAAATATTTGCAGTGTCCTGTTGTGTCAAATTATACCAGCAGTAACTTTTATTGAAAAAAAAAGCTTTTTTTTTTTTACATATTTGATAAAACTATCACTATATTGTGACATTGTGGTATGAGCTAAATAATCTGTGAAAACAATCACGCTCTTCCTCCTCCCAGTGCTAATTAGAAATGACCAATCAGAGCCAGAGGGAGGGTCTTGGCGCTGTCAATCACCCTCATGTGGGTTTGTCACTCATACCCCCACTCTCCCCTTGCTCTGTGCTACACCACTGCTTCTTCCTGATAGCAGAGCTTGTGGTGAATGCTAACGCTAATGACCACCAATGATCTTGGATAAATGGTTTTCCTGGAGTGGTAAGTTGTTTCTCTGCCATTAACACATTTAGCAGTGTGTACACGAGGTTGATGACGGTGCTAACACACTCCTTCTAGCTCTGATTGATTGTTTTTGACCAGGAGTGCTAGTGCTAGCACTGGGAGGTGCTCAGTATATTACCCTAATAGAGTGACAGTTTTAAGAAATATGTGTAAAAAAAAAACATTTTTGTAAAAGTTGCTTAGCTGCTTTAAACTTAGGCCGATTCTCATTTATTTAGAATACAAGTTTCTTTTAATCTTGAAATGTGACTGTCTCTACTTAGAATAACTAATTTTATGTATCTTGCAGCATGAGAAGGCATCTCAAAACATGTTTGACCATCTAGTGGAAGAAAATGGCTTGATAGGAGTCATGGAGCACCACGGCCTGGTGCCGGAAGAGGACCGGCTCTTTATAAAGGAACTGATCGATCCTCCAAAAGTTGAAGAAATTACTGAGGTACCATCTGTTCAGTTTTTGAAATGCATGAGTATAATCTTCAACTGGGTCTTTGTTAGTCTGGTATAATGTGTTGCTCTACCACCATCTTATCATCACCATCTTTGAATGTGATAAACTTTCAAGCATAGATATAGAAAATCATGTAAATTGGAGAAGGTACTTTTCTACAAAAGAAGTGAAAATTCGTCATCAAAACAGTTTAACTGGAAAAATAAAGGTTAAATAAATAAAAAAAAGAAGGAATTAACTATACTGTATAAAACCACCACATTATATCAAAACATGAATGTACTTCTGACAAAGGACAATTTGTATTTCTTTTCTCACTCTCTTTCTTTCTGTGGAATCTGAAAATATAACTTTAAAAATTAGTTGTCGTCTCCAACAGTGGCCACATCATGGCCGACCCAGAGAGAAGGCCTTCCTCTATGAAGTTGTGTCCAACACCAGGAACAAGATTGATGTGGATAAGTGGGAATATTTTGCGAGGTGACTTTGGATTTAATTCTTCTCCCAAAATTTCAATCTCATCTTAAATTCCATACATTTTTAAACATATTATTTTTCCTCTTCTCATATGTCAGGGACTGCCATCACCTGGGTATGAAGAACAACTTTGACTGCCATCGCTTGATTAAATTTGCCAGAGTGTGTGAAGTTGATGGGATGATGCAGCTCTGTTACAGAGACAAGGTTTGATTTGTTTAATTATTTTCCTTCTTATCAACATTAAGATTCAAAATTACAGTATTTGCCACTACATGTTGTCATTATTGTCAACAGGAGGTGTTCAATCTGTACAACATGTTCTACACAAGGTTCTCTTTGCACAAAAGAGCCTACCAGCATAAAGTGGCCAACAGCGTAGAGTGGATGTAAGGAGCCCTTGACATTCCTGGAGTTTGGTGGATGCTTTTCTACTTTATTACTTTTTATTTCATGCAATGTTTTCTTACCATTACAAACTGGGTTTTCCTTCAGGATCAGAGATGCTTTTCTAGAAGCAGATCAGCACATGGAGATCAAAGGCCATGATGGGAAGACGTTCACCCTCTCCACAGCTATTGATGACATGGTGGCATACACTAAGCTGACTGGTGAGTAAACTTACACAACAATGTAGAAAAACATGAGTGTATGTTAGTTTGATTAAATGTGGATTTTAAAGGCCAATATAAACAGCTGTTTTTTATTTTAACTGTGCAAAATCAAAGGGACAGAAATAAAAATAAAGCTATACAGTTTGTGTCTACAAAGTCCATATGGGTAAAACTGGCATTAGCAGTCATAATTTAAAGCTGATAGTTTGCTTAGCACTTATTTTAATACCATTTTTGAACAGAACAGAAACTTAAAGTAATTAACATAATCAGAAGTATATTCATCTAGATTCCCCCCACCCTCATTTTCCTTCTACAAAACCCTGCTTGCTACTCTACCTTGTACACAAGATACTTCAACATATTTTTACTTAAGTAAAAGAGTAGCCATCCAAGAAATGTAATTAATCAAATAACCTTAAAAAAGGTTCTATAAAAAGGCTTCTCAATACTGAATGACAGATTATAACATTAATATATATTTGGGAGCAGTACCTTCTATCTCTATCAACATTTTCTCAATCCATGAGAATTTAAAACTGACTTCACTGAAGTTCAATCAGTTCAGCACACAATGCTTTTCATGATTAGTATATTTACCTCTCATGCACAGCACCTAATAGAGCAAGTAAAAGGTTAACAGCTTCATGCCATCCATCCATTTTCTTTACACCTTTGTCCTTAGTGGGGTCGGAAGGAGTGTTGGTGCCCATCTCCAGCTAACATTCCGGGCAAGAGCCAAGGTTCACCCTGTACCGGTCGCCAGTCTATCACAGGGTATCACAGAGACATGTGTAACAGTTATGGGCTACGCAGCTAACTGCGGCTACAAAAGCAGCATCAGAAGATGGTTCGTTTTTGAAGGAGCCTGAGGTGTGAATGAAGACACGAGCACTGTTTTAGTTTTGGTGGAATGTTTTGATGGGTTGGGGGGGGGGGGAACAATTACAAATACACAATGAGGGACAACTTAATTCTAAATAAATCAATTCAAAGATCAAAGTCCTTGTCCTTAGCTCACCATCAGTTTCAAAGAGGATCTGAAGATCTTATCCATCATGGAAAAAAAAAAAAAAAAAAAAAACGACCTAAAAGGCCAAAAAAAACCATTAAGTGTTTTATCAAACAATATGTGCAAACACACAAATGCAATAAATATCGAATTCAAATGTAATTATTAAATATCTAATAATTAAACTAAACATTTCAGTCAGGTTTAAATTAACCATAATTTAAATAAACAAAAAGAATATCAATCATATTTCAAACTAATCAATTTAAGGTTGAAAAGTTGAAATCAAAGTTCACTTTCCAAATATCAATCAAGGAAAAATAAAATGACTCAAATACTCAAGCAGAGTGGGGAAAGAAAAAAAAAAAATAAAAATAAATTATATTGCGCAATAGCAACTTAAATGTAGCTACATCCTATTGTAAATCAAGTTCATTCATTACAAAAGTAGTGAAATTGGAAAAGAAATCTTGCACAAAACCAACGATCATGTTACCTTTGATCAGTGTGGGCAATATTAGACTGCGATCAGCTGTGATAATCCCGGGGACGGCCCAGGTAACAACCGCCGACTGTTCTAATAAAACAACGCTCCAATGAGCAATCGAGCAAAATTTTCATGCTGAACAATACTGCTATCCTACAAGCAAACTCACCAATAGTTCAAATCAGTTGTTGCAGAGAGTTGGGTGAATTTCCAGGATGAAATTATCAGCAAGACACCAACAGCCAGCCACAATCACAGTGGAACAAGTGATGTTGTTCAAACTGCGCTGGAGGCGGGGCTTTAAATAAGTTGAAGAGTTTGGGGCATCACAGGAAGTGGGCCCGCAACAATAAAAGTCTTTACTAATTGAGGGTTACACAGGCAGGACAAACAACCATACACAAACACTCACACCTAGTGGGAATTTGGAGAGGCCAATTAACCTGACAGTCAAGTTTTTGGACTGTGGGAGGAACTGGAGTACTGGGAGAAAACCCACACATGCACAGGGAGAAGAAGGGAGAGAACATGCAAGCTCTGGGGCTGGGAATTGAACCCAGAACCTGCTTGCTGCAAGGCAACAGCACTACCAACTGCACTACTGTGCAGCCCCCAGTTTTATGCCATTAACCTTGTTAGGGGTGCAATTAAAAACTCCTTCCAGAATTTCACTTAGCCTGGTATGTGCAGAAAACTTCATTTCAAGTGGCTCATCTCTGCGACACAGTAGAGATCTTGCACTCAAATAGATGGAAGGCAGCATTATTATGGACTATTTTAATTTACAACAAAAAGTAATCAGCACAAAGTGACATTGCATTTCTAACATAGAAACATCTGAGTTTTTGTTCCATTCAGATGTATTTTTTTTTCTGGAGTACCTCCCAACATTTTGTTATCAATTCTGGAGATCAGACTTTTGTATGAGGATTTTAAATTAACGTGGTGACTGGCGCATGGGTTGAAGGAAATATCAGAGTTGTGACTATATAGGAATGTTTTTATAGACAGCTGTTCAAATTATACTCTTTCTGTATGAAAATGGAGAATAAAGAATTTCGTAAATTTTTCTGTTTTTTTAATATATATTTTCAAACACAGAGTCTGAATTTTTAGAGGATTTTAAATCTATTTCTTTTGAACATTTCTTTGTTTTTCTCTTTTCCTTTTAGATGCTATATTTGATCAGATATTGAATTCCTCTTCCGAGGAGCTTCAGAGGGCAAGAGAAATACTGGAAAGGATGATGCGAAGAAAGCTCTACGTGTGTCTGGGGGATTTTTCATCCCAACAACCTCAGGCCATTATTGAAGTATTTTTGTTTTATTGCCACTTCGTACATTTCAAATGTAATCAGTAACACTGTAACTATAATGTTTGATTTTTAAGTAAAAATCTGGAAGTTGTAACATTTTATGCGGTTTCTGTTTAGGCTCAATGGAACAAACATCTCAGAGGGGGAAACCCAGACGATTATGTAGTGGAAGTGAGTTTTAATGCAGATAGGATCTGTTTTTTTTTTTTTTGACTGAGGCAATTAATTGTGATATTTGCAATTTAATCTCTGAAATATTATTTGTAACCTCAAAGTATTTATTATTTAGTTAGTCAAGTATAACTATGGAATGGGGGCAGAAGATCCAATAAAACATGTGAGGTTCTACAACAAGCAAAACACGGATGAGGCCAGGCCCATCAACCGAGCTCAGGTGAGAATGAAATAGAAATTTTCTTAGATTCTTGATTTGCTCATTTCTGTCACTTGTGTTCTTCTGAAGTGAGATCATTTGAATTTTCACCACAAGTGTTTGTAACTTATGGTTCAATAAAAATGCCATGTGCTGCTTATATCTCTTTCAGGTATCTCTACTTCTTCCAGAGCACTTTGAAGAGAAGAAATGTAGAATCTACACGAAGAGAACAAGTAATGAGGATCTGGAGGCTGACAGAAAGATGTTTAACACATTTGGCCCTGCACAACCACATCAAGCCTGAGGTATTTCTGGAGGCTGTAATTAGTCAAATATGGTAGACATCAGCAATTTTTAGTTTGCTGTGATTCATCACTTTCTAATGCTATATTAACCTGTATGTGAAAAATATTAGGAGTTTATCTACTTGAATTTGATTTACTGACCAAATTTGTGTTTATTCCACAATGTAAATATCTGTTTAGGTTAACATTTTAAAACTATAAAAATACAGTATAACATAACTTTATATTAATTAATAGTCTTGCACCACCACTTTCTGTAAGAAGTGATTCCACAAAGGTAAAACCAGTGATGTAGAGTTATTTTGCTTTTACAACAGTCAGAATTAACTTTTGCTGCAGTGTGGTTGACTTTTTATGTCACAATTTATGCATTTTCATTTATTATGTACACTGTTCACTCACACAACTTGCAATATCTGTCTTTTCTGTTTTTTAGGAAGTAATCATGGCACCTACTGTGAAACCTCTGAAACCAGGTTGGCATAACCACAGAACTTGAAAGAAATGCATTTTATTCTTTATTCTTGTCAATAAGTATAACCATGCACAAATTTAAATGGGTTTGTAAAAGTGCAAACAAACTTTTTGCATTTAAAAAGGATTGTAAGTTAATCATATGGATTTTTTTTTCTTAAAGGTGAAGGTTTTGATTAACATAGACAATATTTACATATTAAGAAATACAGTGAAAAAGATACTTTTGAAACTTTATTCAAATATTTGATTTATCATTTGTGATTCTTCTGTTATTTTTGGGTGTTTGGTTTAAGGGTATATGATTTATTAGTTTTATTCATACTTAATTAGTTTTGGTAAATTACGTTTGTTGTCATCACCTTCCAGGTCGGTTGACATTACAAATATGTCTTTGGGTATCATTTAAATAAAATATTATTCTTGACTAAATGTATATTAGTGCCATTCAATCTGGACTTGAATGTGAAAATTTTCTCACAAGTGGTGAGAATGTAATCATTTTAATAAACTTGTTTTAAAATAAAATGTGAGATGTCACATTGTGTTTAATTTCTTTATGCTATACATTTGTTTTTTGTGTTTTTTGGTTACATCTAACAGACTTTACCAGAGCTCAGCTGTAGAAGTGTCATTGATCTTCCACACACTAAAGAACTCAAGAAGAGTCTTGTAGATACTGTATATCGCTAATGTGAAAATCATTTGAACAGCTGAAAAATTTAGACTTAAAGTATTTGTTTTATTCTTTTAATTTAATTATTTTAATTTTTATTCTGACCAGAAGCAGTTTGAACAAGTTTTCATTTGGTTAAAGTGAAGGAGGTCTCTAGGACACTTTTTTTTTTTTTTTTTTTACCAAAGATAATCAAAATATCATTGGAAAAATAACAAAAGCTGGCCAGCAATTATAAAAACTGTTGCTTTTGAGAAGGCTATGAATATTACAATTTCAGTCTTTATTCCACCATAAAGAGAAAAATAAATCCACCTCTTATATCTTTATTATTGTCTGGTTTAGTTGACAGTTTTAATATCTGATCTGCTTTAAGAAAACAAATTAAGAAATAAGTTATGAAGCCTAGGTGTAGATTCAACCTGTGAGACTGTGAGATCTTCTGGCATCATCGATTGCGATGCCTCTGCCTCAACCAACCAGGACCTGGACTTTATCAAGGAGCAGATCACAGGACCGACAGAGAGCAGCTTAGGTCGAGGCGAGAAGGTGATCAACGTGTTGAAGAAAATAAACCGCACACACTCTATGTGTCTATTCCTGGCTGTGTTATTGCAACATTCATATTTTCTGCAAAGTCTAAAAAAATTATTCAATCTTCTCAAGTTTGGGCCTTATAAAATCCTGTACCCAGTGGTGTCCAAACATTTTACTTTGTGGGCCAAAATGCAAAAGCAAAGCACTCTGATGGCATTATTTCCCCCAAATTAAATCCCCAAAATGCTTGAGGATTTTTTAAATTCACATAGCTACAAAAGTAAGATTATAAAATGTCTTTAATTTAACATATAAAACTTGCAGCAACCCCCACTGTTGCAAATCACAGAGGTGACCTTTCTAATTCTTGGCTCTGTACACCACCATTTTAAATCATCCGACAGTCATGTGATCACATCAGCAGTAGTGATCCAGGACATAAGAACCAAACTACAACACATAATGGTACCACAGCAGAATTACCACAGAGACATGTAAATGAAGATAAATGTCCATCTATTATTTATATTGTCTCCAACATAGAGTTGAATTTAAATGGAAGAATTTGGTGGCATTAGTTGCAATACCAAAACCCACCACCATCCATTGGATGGAAAGTTTCAGGACATGTTTACAGTAAAAGGGTAATGCCACAGGTGTTTGGACTGATGTGGATTGTAAAGTGTGTTTGTTGAAGAGGGATTGACGTCATTATAAATAACCACACCTGAATCATAAAGCATATGTTTTAGCCTCCTAAACCAATATTTACCAATGATGAACTCATTTGTTTTTTCTTCTCCATAGTGGCCTTACAAAGGCCGTTCTAAAGACAACAAAAGGAACGATATCATTCTAACAAAAGGAAGGTCTTTATTAGGTTAAAGTGAAGGACACTTGATATCAAAATAAATAATCAAAATATCAGTGGAAAAATAACAAAAGCTGGTCATAAATTATAAAAAGTGTTGCTTTTGGGGAGGTTCTGAATATTACAAGTTCAGTCTTTCCCATTTAGAGAAAATAAAGCAACCTCTTAAATTTTTATTATCTGTATAAGTTGAACGTTTTAATATCTGATCTGCATTAAGAATAGAAATAAAAGAAATAAGTTTTGTAATAATTCAGCTGGTTCTTAACTGTAAATTAAATTACATTAACATATCCTCCAGCCTATGAGTATTCGGTCTGTAGTATTGAATCAGTCTAAATGGCCAGGATTTCAGCATTTCAATGTGAATCATTTAGTGTGGCTGTGAACAATTCAATTTTAGGAAGACATTTCTGGGGTCAGGGTTATGTTTTTATTTAATCCATTCTTTGTACTAAGATTAATATAACTATATTACGAAATAACATGATAGTGCTTGGAAATTTATTTTCCTCCATGACAGCAAGCTTCTGATGGTATAATTTGTTAGTAAAATATTCTGCTTGAAGTAAAAAGCTTGCTTGTTATCCGTCAGCATGACAAACAAATTAAAGTTAAAAGCATTCAGCTGATCCAAAACACGCTGATGCCAGTGAGCCGCCACATCCAAACAGAATGAGCCACTGAGGGTTCAATTCCCCACCTTTCTTTGTTTGTTTGAACACAGCATTGGGTAAAATATATTTACACTGAATGGCTTAAAGCTCATCTGTTACAATATTTGTTGAAAAAATCTGTAGGTTTTAGTCACTATATCTGACTTAAGATGTCTTGTTATGTGATGATAAAAGGTGGCTTACTTGGCTGTAGAACTTGTTAAGGTTCTGAGGGAGAGGCAGCCAGAACTGGACATCACTGAGCGTGACATCGTTGTGTGTAGATTGTTGCACTTTGCCCTGACCTGGGTGAGTTATGCCGAAACAAGCAATGTTGATCAATGTGCATCAGAAATTAAGCAGATTGTGGTATTTGCTGAGTAGTTTGTTAAGGAGGGGATAATATGTATTTTCCAGGCACATGGTGCCATTTTATAGCTCATTCAAGTAATTATGTTGTCTTCAGTTATAAAAACGCTGTAAAAAGGATTTTAAAAAATGTGACTTTGCATCTTTCGCCTTGATATTGGCCTCTTATTCTTTACAACGTCATTATAAAGTCATAACAGTGGTAAAAAAATTAAAGTTAAAAGCGTTCAGCTGATCCAAAACATGCTGATGCCAGTGAGCCGCCACATCCAAACAGAATGAGCCACTGAGGGTTCAATTCCCCACCTTTCTTTGTTTGCAGTCCACAGCTTTGGAGCTTTTGTAAAAATATTATAAAAAAAAATACTGTGTGTTGTAAAATAATAAAAGCAATCCACTGCCCATTTGTGGAAGAAGGATGTAATAACTTTGTCATGTTGGATTTAAGTTTCCTGACCCACATGCAAGTACTCTCAACACCGGTTTAGTGAAAAGGTTTTTTTAATTGTAGATGGTTCGTACAAATTAAGTCCCACAGGATGGTAGGGGTTCTGCTTGGGTTCTGTTGGAGAGGGGGAGAGATTAGTAGGGGCCGGAGTCGAGGGATCTTGACGGGTTTGACTTATCGGGCTTACTGTCTTTCGTGTGGCCGTAGCTTGAAGGGGAGGGCTAGGATCCGGGAGATGTTTGGCTTCGGCAGGAGGGATCTTAATGTCCAGGCGTGGTTCTTGGCTTGTTCCCGGCGGCTCGCCGTTTCCTGAAAGCAGACACAAAATTACTTGAGTCCTCTCAAAAAAACATCTAAGCAGGGATTCAGGGTTGACTCTGACCAACGAAATGGGACAATCGAGCGATGAGTGACTGTTCCTCCGCTTCTTAAAGATCTGCCAGTCAATCATCTGGAATCAGCTGCCGGTGCGTCAGCCTGTCAGAGCTCTCTTCCGAGATCCTCTATAGAAAAGACCACTCACACTGACCCGAATCCTAACAAACTTCTTTTGAGAACAAAAGCTTTTCTTTATTCATTTAAAACCCTGTTAGGATAGCTCTTTCTTTTCAGCTCTTTATGAACTCTAGTTTTGTGAATCCACCTGTATTCCTCTTTTTTACAGATGAATACAAGTGGTGCTACCTCCGCTGCTCGTCAAGATCATCGACACGCCTCAGTTTCAGCGACTTCGAAACATTAAACAGCTCGGAGAAGAGTTATGTTTACCCTGGAGCAAACCACACCCGCTTTGAACACAGCATTGGGTAATATATATTTACACTGAATGGCTTAAAGCTCATCTGTTACAATATTAGTTTAAAAAAAATCTGTAGGTTTTAGTCACTGTATCTGACTTAAGATGTCTTGTTATGTGATGATAAAGGGTGGCTTACTTGGCTGTAGAACTTGTTTAGGCTCTGAGAGAGAGGCAGCCAGAACTCAACATCACTGAGCGTGACATCGTTGTGTGTAGATTGCTGGACTCTGCCATGACCTGGGTGAGTTATGCAGAAACAAACAATGTTGATCAATGTGCATCAGAAATTAAACACATTATGATGCTAACTGAGCATTTTGTTAGAGGGGATAATATGTATTTTCCAGGCACCTGGTGCCATTTTATAGCTCATTCAAGTAATTATGTTGTCTTCAGTTATAAAAACGCTGTAAAAAGGATTTTAAAAAATGTGACTTTGCATCTTTCGCCTTGATATTGGCCTCTTATTCTTTACAACGTCATTATAAAGTCATAACAGTGGTAAAAAAATTAAAGTTAAAAGCGTTCAGCTGATCCAAAACATGCTGATGCCAGTGAGCCGCCACATCCAAACAGAATGAGCCACTGAGGGTTCAATTCCCCACCTTTCTTTGTTTGCAGTCCACAGCTTTGGAGCTTTTGTAAAAATATTATAAAAAAAAATACTGTGTGTTGTAAAATAATAAAAGCAATCCACTGCCCATTTGTGGAAGAAGATTGTAATAACTTCTTTTGAGATTGAGAACAAAAGCTTTTCTTTATTTATTTAAAACCCTGTTAGGATTGCTCTCTTTCTTTTCAGCTCTTTATGAACTCTAGTTTTGTGAATCCACCTGTATTCCTCTTTTTTACAGATGAATACATTTTCTATTTAGATAATTAACAAAACAGTAAAAAAGTTAGATATTTAGGTTATCAGTTGGGTTTCTACATGGATGTCCTTGTTGATGTTCCTCTTTTTGTCATTTTGTCAGGTATTTAAT